CGTAGGTTCAATTCCTACCATAGGACCTTGTGCTGCATTTTTCGCAGTCGTTCCTTGTTAGGTCTTAAAATGTATATATTCTCACTTGGATTACAAACCCTAACATTCAAATATTAATCCCAACAAGTGAAGTGCAAGAATCCAAATTATTGAAGTCCACCTTATCATAACCCGCACACCCGGTTAGCTAATATACATGAACTTATGGTTAAATCTCGACAGCTGGCCGAGCTGTAGCTCAGTTGGTTAGAGCGCTGCACCGGAATCACAGAGCCGTAGGTTCACTTCCTTCCATAGGACCTTGTGCTGCATTTTTCGCAGTCGTTCCTTGTTAAGTCTTAAAATGTATATATTCTCACTTGGATTACAAACCCTAACATTCAAATATTAATCCCAACAAGTGAAGTGCAAGAATCCAAATTATTGAAGTCCACCTTATCATAACCCGCACACCCGGTTACCTAAATATACATGAACTTATGGTTAAAGCTCAACAGCTGGCCGAGCTGTAGCTCAGTTGGTTAGAGCGCTGCACCGGAATCACAGGGCCGTAGGTTCAATTCCTACCAGAGGACCTTGTGCTGCATTTTTCGCAGTCGATCCTGGTTAGGTCTTAAAATGTATATATTCTCACTTGGATTACAAACCCTAACATTCTAATATTAAGTCCACCAAGTGAAGTGCAAGAATCCAAATTATTGAAGTCCACCTTATCATAACCCGCACCCCCGATTACTTAAATATACATGAACTTACGGTTAAAGCTCAACAGCTGGCCTCTGTAGCTCAGTTGGTTAGAGCGCTGCACCGGAATCACAGAGCCGTGGGTTCACTTCCTTCCATAGGACCTTGTGCTGCATTTTTCGCAGTCGTTCCTGGTTAGGTCTTAAAATGTATATATTCTCACTTGGATTACAAACCCTAACATTCAAATATTAATCCCAACAAGTGAAGTGCAAGAATCCAAATTATTGAAGTCCACCTTATCATAACCCGCACACCCGGTTACCTAAATATACATGAACTTATGGTTAAAGCTCGACTGCTGGCCGACCTGTAGCTCAGTTGGTTAGAGCGCTGCACCGGAATCACAGGGCCGTAGGTTCAATTCCTACCAGAGGATGATGTGCTGCATTTTTCGCAGTCGATTCTGGTTAGGTCTTAAAATGTATATATTCTCACTTGGATTACAAACCCTAACATTCTAATATTAAGTCCACCAAGTGAAGTGCAAGAATCCAAATTATTGAAGTGCACCTTATCATAACCCGCACACCCGATTACTTAAATATACATGAACTTACGGTTAAAGCTCAACAGCTGGCCTCTGTAGCTCAGTCGGTTAGAGCGCTGCACCGGAATCGCAGGGCCGTAGGTTCAATTCCTACCAGAGGACCTTGTGCTGCATTTTTTGCAGTCGTTCCTGGTTAGGTCTTAAAATGTATATTACAAACCCTAACATTCTAACCCTAACATTCTAACATTTGAAATTAAGGATTTGGAGGTTTTGCGATCACCGACAACTTGATAATTTTATAAAACAAAACACTTCTATCTCCAACTTTTACAATCACTGATAAATTGATAATAATTTAAACCAGTCTAGCTGTAGTTTAAATAGAGAATAATACATGGGTGCACGAAATACCAGATTTATTTCGAGTGTTGAACATGAGTGTGCAGCGAACAAGTGAGCGCAGCGAACGAGTGAGATGTCATGTTCAACACAAAAAATAAATCTGGTATTTCCAACCACCCATGTATTTTTCTGTTTATTATATAAAGGACAGTCTTAAATGAAAAGCGATAATGTTTACAGAAAAGCGATAATTGAAAAGGCGATAAATTTTTACATGTGAGATTATCATGAATAATTTCACATCTGAGATTATCATTTTTGTCAGTGCTCGAAAACTCTGTAAAACACTATACTTTATATAATAAAAATTCATAAATTTGAACCATGCTAGAGCATGACAACAGCAAAATGCTCTATAGTATGATGCACAATATTTTGGGAGGTGATCGAAATACACGAACAATAAATCAGAGAGTGTTTGCTTGGAACTCACTGGGGGGGGGGGAGGTGCAACACCCCTGATTATTGCTCATGATGAATTTCAGGTAGATTTCCAGTGCACTTTTAGTACGTACATTTAAGTAGATTTGCAGAAGATTTTCAGGGGAATTCAGGTAATTCTCAGGACATGACTGAGAAAGTGAATTTGGAAAACAAGTGTATTTTCAAAAAAATTATTATATGTCCTGAAAATTTTTTGTACATCTGGAAACTTTTTGGTAACCCCCCCCCCCCTCTATCTAACCACACACACACCCTGCGACGAAGTGCTCGCAACGGCACTGAGTATATATCTTTTGAAAACAGGCGAGGGGTTATTGCATGCATGTATTTCTAGTCTATAGAATGACACAGACATCGAATTTGCTCAGCTGCTGTATAATTAAGAAAAGCTTACTCTTGACTTGGAAGAGAAGTACATAAAAGCTCTACAAATGGCTTGTACACATCAAAGTACGTCATCTCTATTCAAGAGTCGCAGCCAAAATGGTTCATTTACTCGAGAAACATGGCTTTAAAACGGTTTTCCCGAATATAGATTGAATCTTTGAATCCTAAGATTGAATATATCATTGAATTCTAAGATTGAATCATTGAATCCTAAAATTGAATCATTGAATCCTAAGATTGAATCATTGAATCCTAAAATTGAATCATTGAATCCTAAGATTGAATCATTGAATCCTAGATTAAATCATTGAATCCTATGATTGAATCATCGAATCCTAGATTGAATCATTGTGTGGATCATTGAATCCTACATTAATCATTGAATCCTAAATTGAGTCATTCAATCCTTAGATTGAATCATTGAATCATAGAGTAAATAATTAAATCCTAAGATTGAATCATTAAATCATGAAGTGAATCATGGAATCCTAAGATTGAATAATTTAATCATAAAATTGAATCATTGAATCCTAAGATTGAATTATTGAATCTTAATATTGAATCATTGAATCCTAACCTGCCCGCCTCGTTTGTGTACAAATATGTTGTACATTGATATATGCATGCACCCAAGCGTCGCTAATGACTGGCAACACGTAGCAACAGATATAACGACCGCATATTTGATAAAAATATATTTTTTTTATGGCGAACTACATCACAACTGTGCTAAACGTTTTTTTCCGTCAAGTATTCTTGATAAAATTTCTTAGGATCTGACTCGGTCACCTTAACAGTATATACAGTATGTATGTAGGAGGCTTGCGAAATAATGTTGAAAATGTCCACAACTGTCCGTAATAATATTCATTTATATCCATTAGGATCCTTGTAGTTATGCAAATTCGTATTACCTTAATCCTCTTTATTACTTCAACCTTTGTGTTATACGCATGGGGATTACCTGACAACGTTGCCATGAGAATATTTGTGTTTTTCTCAATAAAATCTATATATTTAAAACTTTACTTTGAAAAAATGCTTGCAAAAGCATGGTTTTTATTTCGTTTAAAGTAGCATAAGCATATTATTTGCAATGGTAAATCATCGCACTTGCTATTAATAGTAAATCACGTTCTGTGTAAAGTAATTATATTCTCTTAAAATTTATCAAAAAATACGGACATATCTCAAAATGTTTCTGTACCTAGCAGCAACGCACTGCTATGTGTTGCAAGCCAATCTTAATCCCAGTATTGTATCACACAGGGAGGGATGCTAAAAAATGACTAGTCAGCACGTTTTGTCCGATCTTGGCCGATCTTGGCCGATCTTGCCCGCGTGACTTCATTGCATATATTAAGTGACCACACCCCACATGAGATCAACCACCTCACTCTATGCTAATGATGATGCGCCGCCCTGAATTTCGAATGATGAGCCGCCCTGAATTTTGAATGATGCGCCTCCCTGAATTTTTAATGATGCGCCGCCTTGAATTTTTAATGATGCACCGCCCCTGCGCTGCCTTGCGCCGCCCTGAAAAAAGGGCTCGAAAACCACCTACATTACTAACTGGGTAAATATCAAGATTATGTTGGCATCTCAATTTTCGGCAAGGTTTCAACTAAGTTTTAACTGTATAGTCGGGCAGATAAAAGGAAACACTTACGTTATCGTGGGACAACTCCATTTTGCCTTCATATTGTGACCCGAAGGCTAGTTAGTACGTTTCTGTATGCTGGTAGCGTTGAAATTTCTTGTTGGGTCCTGCCGACACGTTTTTCTTCGAATGTTTAATTTTATTAAACTCTATTACAGTTAAAAAATGTGAAATTTCAAATACATTTCTAACACAAACTTGCACAGACTTAAATAATTTTACAGCTTGCAAAAAACTACATGTAAGACATTTAAACGGTTACCCGGGTTTTTCAAGTTCTTCTTGAGTTATGAGCTGTTCAATGCGTGTTTTCAGACTAGTACCCAGGAATTTTGCGAGATTTTGGCTTATTTTTCACATTTGAAACGGCAATAACTCGAGAACCGCTTGAAAATCCCAGCTAACCGTTTAAATGTTTCATATGTAGTTTTTTGTTAGCTTTCTATTGATGCAAGTCATTTGTATTCGAAATGTATCAGAAATTTCACATTTTTTAACTGTAATAGAGTTTAATTTAATTAATACAAAATTCGAAGAAAACCGTGTCGACATGAGTCCACAAGAAATTTTAACGCGGCCAACATACAGAAACGTACTTACTAGCCTTCAGGGCACAATATGATGGCAAAATGGAATTGTCCCACGATGACGTAAGTTTTCCATAATTTTGGTCCTCTATCTGCCTGACTAGTAGGTTTCAAGTGTTATTCAATCAGGTGTGATCCAAAATATTACTCTTTACCTATACTGCAGTACCTAGTATACATACAAGAACTTGCGTTAGAGCTCGACAACTGGACTCTCTTGCTCAGATGGTTCGAGTGCCACACCGGAATCACAAGACTGCAGGCCCGATTCAAGCCAGAGCACATGATAAATATTCAAAGTGTGCATGTGGATGAGTATTGAAGCCGGGATGTATTTTCATGCCGCTTTCTGAGAGTTGATTAATTTTGTTTTGAAAAAACTGGAATTCAAGGAAAACGGATGTTTGTGAAAACTGTTTATGATCTTGATAGATTTTGGATGTCAATTTCCGCCATTGCATTTCCACAGTTGCGTCGTTCCTGTGAGAACGATGGCACGAAATTTCATATCTTCGGTAATACCACCATTATATACAAAAATACCAACATTCGATTCAGATATAAAAGATTCAACTAATT